TTTTTTTTTTTTTTAAGATTTTATTTATGTATGCAGTACGGGGGTATAGGCCAGAGTTGCAGGGGCGGTGAGAGGATTCACCAGAGACAGAGAGGGGAGCAGAACAGGCCGACTGACGAAGTACACTGCTGAGGGGAGCAGCGGGCAGGTCAGGAGAGGTCTGCCATGCCATGTGGGTCAGCTCCGGGGCTGGGGATTGAACTGGCATTGAAGTGGCTGCAGCCAGCTTGCAGTGCTGCGTCCTAACCCATTGCACCACCAGGGAGGGCTGGCATCTGCTCTTTCTCTGGCTATCCAAGGTTCAGTGTTATGAGGAGTGAAATATTTGTTAAGCTGGCAGGGTTACCTGGTGCTACAGGGAAGCAGAGCTCCTGGATTCACAACTTGGTGGGAGGAGTAGGGGCTGCCCGCAGTGAGAAAACCCTGCCCCGAAGTGCACTCTCCTGTTCCTCCTGGTAGGACTTTCTGTCTCCAGACTCTCCCCTCTTTCCTTTCTTTAATCTTATTAGCCAGAGACAGTGCCAGTATAATAATAACAATCATCTGAATATTAACCAGAGGCCGTAGCCAGGGGGAGCTACAGCAGGTCATAGAGCGGGAGAGAACCAATGCCAAAGCTGCACATCAAAAAGAGCAGAACCTCAGCCCCTCAGCCGGCCCGTGGCCCTTTCTCCCTGACCCCTCACGAAGACGTGCGCTCGGATCGTACTGCCTGAACAGCCCAGCGCCGTCCACTCCAGTCACCTCTAAACCCATTTGCCCTCGGGAGATTGGGTTGAAGTGCTTCCAGGGCTTTCCAGGGCGTTCAGTGGCCCCAGCCACACCACTTTCTCTCCACAGAGGTGGGGGCAGCACTGTTGAGCCAGAGGCCTCACCATGCACAGGCTCTGGGCTCAGGGAACACTGGGCTGCCTCCCGGCTCTGCCCCAGCCCTGCTGTGTGGCCTCAGGCAAGAGGCTGAACCTCTCTGGGCCTCAGGTCCCCCCACTCCCAGCAGAGAATGATGACAATGTCCTTGGAGTCTTCTAGAAAACCCCTCATCGAGCCTAAAGCCAGCCTGCTTGCCCGTTCTGTACTGAGCACTCCAGGAGGACTGGGAGCAAGATGAGTCCCACAGCTTCCCCTCCCGTGGGCCTGGACGTGGACTTCCGTCTTGTGTGGCGAGTAGGTCCCCGCAAACCGTGGTGGGGTTCTGAGCTGCACGGCCTGTTTGTCTTGAGCCTGTGCGGGCTGGGTCCTTCCTAGGGCAATGCTGTGCCTTCGAATCTCGGAGGGCAACCCTCAGGCCTGCCTTCTTCCCCTTTGACTTAGCTATTGAGGGACCTTTATGCTTCCACGCTGAGATGAGTGCAGCCACTGTTTAGATCACGCACCTCTGCTCCCCTCTCTACACCTGCCAGGCACCGAGTCTGAAATGAGCGGAGGGAGAGTGCCTGGCTGGTGGCCTGAGATGCAGCTGAGCAAGGGTTAGAGGGCGTCAGGTCCCTTCAGCATCTATCTCTGGCACCCAGCCGTCAGTCCTGAGGTGCACCTAGAGTCCAGGTATCTGCTGTGGGTGGTGGGATGGAAGGAAGCCCGATTCCTGTCTCCCCCACTTCCCCTCTACATGTCCCACCTTAGCCAATGGAACCATCTCAAAACACAAGAGTCAGTTTTGGCTTTTCCCCATCCTCTCCAAATTGCCCCCTCCAGTTACTAAGTCTGGATTCAGTTTGGTGGACTCAGTGTTCTCTATTTCTCCCCTGAGTTCCTGCTTCTCTTCATGCTAACGGTGATCTCTGTCATCCAGGACACTGTCAGCCCTCACCTCCTCCGTGACCCCGTGCTAGATGGTTTCCCACCGGAGGTAGACTGCATATGTGGTAATACAATTCCACTCCCTCAAATGTTTAATGTCTCTCCATGCCCAGATACAAGGCTCAAACTCCTAAGTATGATGATGATCCCTTAGGTTTTTTTTAAAGATTTATTTATGCATATAGAACTGGGGTACAGGCCAGAGGTGCAGGGGCGGCGAGAGGCTTCACCAGCGACAGAGTGGGGAGCAGAACAGGCAGATCGATGAAGTACACTGCTGAGGGGAGCAGCGGGTGGGTCAGGAGAGGTCCGCTGTGCCCATGGGTCACCTCCGGGGCAGGCGGGGATCGAACTCATGCGGAAGTGGGTTTAGATTCTCAGTGCTGTGCTTTGACCCGCTGCGCCACCAGGGAGGGCCCTGATCCCTTAAGTTTTATGCTCTAAACATGTAAGACTTTCTATGTAGTGTCCTGCCTCTGGACCTTTGCTCACGCTGTTCTTTCTGCCTAGCAAGTTCCCATTCTTCCTCTTTCCCCCTGCAGTCAAGAGAAAGGTCTGGGGTTGACCGGTTTGGAGACAGCAGCTGTCTCTTTTCCCTCAGTGCTTTGCACTTCTTTATAGAGAGAGGTATGAAGTTGTACCCCCAAATTACGTCAATGCAAAAATTGTCATATTAATAACACTTTAGAATAAAAATAAAAGAAGGTGGAAGCATGAGTTAAAAGCCCACTTACTATTTGGGTGACCTTGGGTACTTCATTCACTCCTGGACTTCAGTTTTTCCATCTGTAAAATGGGACACAATCATCATAATAGCCCATGCCAGGTGGATACCTTAAAAATTAATGAATGGGGCCCTCCCTGGTGGCGCAGTGGGTTAAAGCACAGCACCTGAGAATCTAAACCCACTTCCGCATGAGTTCGATTCCCGCCTGCCCCAGAGGTGACCACATGGCGCGGCAGACCTCTCCTGACCCGCCCACTGCTCCCCTCAGCAGTGGACTTCGTCTATCTGCCTGTTCTGTTCCCCACTCTGTCTCTGGTGAAGCCTCTCACCGCCCCTGAGCCTCTGGCCTGTACCCCAGTTCTGTATGCACAAATAAATAAATCTTTAAAGAGAAAAAATAAAGTTAACGAATGGGTGAGGATGTGGAGAAAGCGGAAGCCCTCTCTATTGCTCTGAGGCTTATAAATTGTAGCCATTTGGAAAGCAGGCTGGACCTTTTAAAATAAAAATTCCTCTGAATGCCTATACTCGCTCTTGATTCGGCACTATTTCTGACAATAAAATTTCATTTCTAATGTGCCAAAAATAAATAAATAAAATAAAAATTCCAAAATACCATATAATCTAGCCATTCCAGTCTGGGATATCTATCCAAATAGAACAGCATTCACTCAAATATTATAGATTCCAAATTTATATGGGTAGATCCAAAATTACATGTTCGTTGAGGCATTGCTTCCAACAGCTAAGATGTGGATGCCACCTAAGTGCCCATCAGCTGAAGTGCCCATCAGTTGATGAGGAAGTAAGAAAATGTGGTACATATATACCCAGTAGAATACAATGCAACTGTGAAGACAGAGAAAAATGGCCACTTGTAGCAAAATAGAAGGAAATTGAGGGGGTTGTGTATAGCAAAAATAGAAAGATGAAGACCAGTATTGGATGGTTTCACTTATAGAGAACATAAGGAATGTAACAAACACAACAGATGAACCAGCAAAGCAAAACTCAACTATCAATCTATTTGCTAACCAAATTGAGGTTACCAGAGGAAGGGAAGCAGGATGGGAAATGGGGCAAGTAGAGTGTCAAGAGAGTGGTGGGTAAATGCTTTTGCTTTCTTTTCATTATTCTTCTTTTCTTCCCCAAAAATGTTTAAAGTCCTCAATTGCTATGAGATCATTCCAGGCAAATCTCACAGAGGAATAAGGCAGAAGTCTCAGTCCTAACCTGCAGGAACGTCAGTGAAATCAGATCATGGCACCATGGTGGACAGCTCCTTATGAACTGTTATTTTTTTTTCCAGAAAGAACCCCAACTCAATTGGGGGGGGCAGTGTTCCCAACCCTAGGAGATGAACCATTTATGTCTAGGCCAGTTGTAATGATTTCATTCTCTTCTGCCTGATACTTAGTCTCCCAGACTCCCTTGCAGCTAGATGGCCACATGGTTGAAGCTGGCCTACGAGATACCAACAGAAACCTACTAAAGTGCCTTTTCTTTTTTAAAATGAGGCATGGTAGTCAAAAAGCAGTGATGCTTAATCTCATTTTGCTTTTTTTCTTAAAGCAGAGGATCTCCCATTTTGTGGATTTGGGAAATCTTATGGAATCCTAATGTAACAAACACAGCTCAATTGCTCCAATTGAAAATGTAATTGAAGAGTGCAGGAACTCCAACTTTGGCTTCACAGCTGCAGAAGCACAAAACCACTTAGAAAGAGGCTGGGTTGGAACATGTCTACATAATGTGATGGACATGTATGATTTTGTGCATGTTTTTGGATACTTATTCTGGTCTAGCATTGTGAATTTCCCTCAGGAACCATCCTGGCCTTCTCCTGTGTTCATATGCTTTTAATGAAGTTATTCAATTCTGGTTCCCAGGCTAGGAATATGATTTAGTTCTGGATACGGTGATTAGTTCAGAAATGTGCACATGACTCGATTCAGTCCAGTGAGATTGAGTCCTAGGACAACTGAAGAGAGGTAGAGTCTTTCTTTTCCTGTTGAACTTGAACCCTACGTCTGTGAAACCTGAGAACAGAGTCCACACAAAAGGAACGGAGTCAAGAGATGGAAAGAGAGTGGATCTTGAAGACTTTGGGCCATGGGATTAAGCTTTACCTAAGGATAGACAAACCTACTGCTGGAGTTTTGGTTTTGTGAGTCAATAAATTCCTTTTGGTTGATGTAATTTGTGTTCTACCTCTTGTTTTTGTAACCAAAGGATTCCAGATTAGTGCAGATCCTTTACCGGCCCATGTCGTGGGACCCTCCAACAGGTAGACATCACAATTGATGGCAAACTTTCTAGTTTTCCTACTCCTGGGTGTTACTGAAATGTGATCTGTGACTTCTCTTGTCAATGATATGTGCATAGAAGTGATATGTGTTAATGGGAGGGGAGCTCTTTAAAAAATCAATAAATGATTTGCCACTCTCTGTCTTTCCTTTGTATAACAATGTTCCAGATGGTGGAGGCTCTATCAGCCTGGGTCCCAGACTGAGGACAACGTGGAGCAGAGACCCCTGCTGACCCTCAGTGGAGATGTACCGTGAGCAAGAAATAAACCTTTGTTTCCAGCCACTCAGGTCTTGGGTCATTTGTTACAACAACATACCTTAGCCTGTCCTGAATAATTTCCACCTGTTCTTCTTCCCCTTCTTTATGCTTCCTTCTCTTTCTCTCTGCCATTACTTCCCTGATCTGCATAGTAGTCATATAACTTTTCTTAACTTACCTTCTGTCAACAGACTGTTTCAAAGTTTCCATAATCGTTCATCTCCTGGTATGAACATGAAGTGATCTGACATGGACATTGGCAGGAGATAACCAACCTGGACTGACAGAGCCATGTCCTTGGCATCACTACCAGTGTCAATCTGTCAGACAGCTGTCAGTCTGTCATCCTTCCCCATCACTGACCTCAGTAGGTCATCTTCCTAATCATATTACTGGACTCACAGGGCTATGAATTCTAAAACCTCCTCCAGAAATTTCTACTTGTTGTCTTATGAAAATTAACAAGATCGTGAAGTTTGTGCTGTTTATGATATAATGCTCTGCCAAGACACAAAAGTTGACCTAAAAATTATATACTCTGGCCTTTATCATTGTTAAGCAATGTGAACAACTGATCAGTTAATTAAGCCAACGCACATGATTCTGGGGCTGGAATGCAAGTTGGGCAATGTCAAAGTTATTTGGAAAGCAGAAAAGTAAAGCATTTCTGAAACTTGAGCATGACCGTCATTATTAACATACACGATACTTGTACAGCTTGGGGGGTCTCAAACTACTCACCACAGGGGACATGGAAGGGGGCAATTGCAGGCATATGAGAGTCTTGGGGGGAGGGAGCCCCATGGTAATACCTCTTCTACAATCAGCTCTGGATGGTTATCACCAGATAGCAATCCAAGTCCAGGGCCACCAGTTTTTTGAACATTTTTTTCCAGCAAAATTTGAAATCTAGTTATATATTGTGAAATGTATTATGCATTTTCTAAAACACTGTGCCACTCACACTTCATGGTCATGGTCAACCACAGATAGAATACCTGATGGCACCTAACCCATGGTCCCCCATATTATCTCTTCCTGTTCTGCATTGCATCCATTTTACAAATTAGGAAAGTGAGGTTCAGAAAGGTAAAGTGACTCACCAGAAGGAAAAACTCAAGTCCATACCTTGTGACTTCACTCAGCTGCTTTTCACTCCACTATGTCACAGCTGTCTCCTCATAGCTCAAATATATAGCAGTGAGGTTAATTCCTCCCCTTCCGTAACGCATACTGTCAACAGGGAACAGCCACAGCTGGACTACATTTCCCAGCCTCCCACTAATGAAGTCATGTGACCTGTTCAAACCAATAGAGCATGGCAGGAAGTGGGGCCTTGTTTCTAAGGGCCAACAGTTGAAAAACAGATGTGCCTTGACCACCTCTTTGCCTTCCACAGCTTGTTGCAAGTGAACAACAAACTTGCTAACCAACATCGACACCATAGGGCTGAAGTTATCTAGAGCCCGAATCACTTGGAGGAAAACCACCTCCAATCAAAAGGACTTGACATCAGGGAAAAATAAACCGCCATTGTACTTGAGTCATTATACATTTTGGTTTTATTTGTTACAGCAACAAGCGTTTCCTTAACCGGACAAGCATGAATCAGCTTTAAAAGTCATCTTTCCTTCCCCTCACCTCTTCTTTATCAGCAGCAGGAGTTGGCAATGGCCAGAGCCACCCACTGCACCCAGTAGGTCTGGGCTGGGGAGGGGTGGGGGTCAGTAGGGGGAGAAAAGGACTCAGATTAGGTGTCTGGGATGGAGGTATAGGGGCTCTGCCTGTCACTGCCTCTTGTCTCTGCCTCCAACACCCGCTCCTATCTGGCTTTAAGGAGGGACTTGTTCATGCCTCAGCTGAAGGTGAGCATATTATCACTGAGCCCTCCTGGAGGAAGACGAAAGACAAAACAAGCATTTGGCTTGTCTGGGCCACACACCCTCCACCAAGATAGGAGTCAACATGTTTGGTAACATCAAAGACAGTGTGATATCTTAAGCATAAGGAGATTAACATTTACAAAGGTTTGCCCCTCGGCCTGTTCCCAAGGAATCCAGCAGACAGAGCCAGAAGGGACAATTAACATCACCCATCTGTGTTGGGGTCTTCTGGCATCTCCTATTAGGAGACTTTCTTTAGAGCTTTCTGCTAAATTTAAGATGAACGAGGCAAAAGTCCAGACTCATATTTGAGCAACAGCTTTCTACACACAAGGGAGAAGGCAAAAGGCACTGCAAAATGACAGCATAGGGACCAAGTACTGAGGTTGAATTGTGCTTCCAGAAGTTCCAGGCCAGGGTGAGAGAGTGAGAGAGAGGCCCATCTTGTAGTGAGAAACAGTACCCCCTAAACCAGGCACTCGGTAGAAAGCAGGCTGAGGCCATCCACGTGGATGGAGGAGGGGTGAGGGGCTGGTTCGTCTCTTTGAAGCAAGAGGCCAAGAATATCTCAACACACTCCAGGCACCAGCAATGGGCGGGGACCAAAATCCCTTACAGCTGTTGGAAACCAAACCCTATTCAGAGATAATTGGCAATTAGTTAAACAACTCCTGTTTAAAACACTCCTACTCCCCACCCTCAAAGACAGCTGTGTTTAAAAAGGGGAGGGGAGCGACCTCTCAAGAAATGTGGAAACCTAATCTTCATGTCAATAAAACAAGACCAGGCTCTGGGAGGAAATGAGTTAGAGAATTTAAAAATCCATCTGGGCAACGGAACATCCTTGAAAATCCACTGCTCCGTGTTGCACTCACAGTAGACCACAGCGGTCAAGAACATAGAATTTGGAGTCAGAAAAGTCTAGCTTAAGCTTCTTAAGCTCTCGATGCCTCAGTTTTTCTCATCTGTAAAATGGGATGATGGCATCGCACAGATTAAATATTTCTGGAAGCTGGTGCTGGCAGTGTGAGATTAGTTCTTAGAACACTTGTTATGTCAAACCTCAACTTTTCAGTCTGGCATTCAAGGTCCTTTATAATCTGTCTCTGACCTAGTCTTCCTACCTCCTCCCCATTTCACATCCCTTATTTTTCAAATTTGTGGTAAACTTTGTTAGTTCTGCCTCAGACCACCCTACCATTTTTCTTTTTCCTTCTGGCTTGTTTCACTGAGCATGACATGATCCCTTCCAGCTCCATCCATGTTGCTGCAAAGGGCATGAGTTTATCCTTTCTGATGGCTGAGTAGTATTCCACCATGAATACAGACCCCCCTTTTCTTGATCAGTTCATCTGTTCGGCGCATCTAGGTTGTTTTCCTGTCTCGGTTGTCATAAATAATGCTACAACAAACATGGGAATGCAGGTTTCCCTTCGAATTCATGTTCTTGTGTCCTCTGGGTAGATTCCTAGGAGAGGAAATGTGGGATCATACTGTAGCTCCGATTTTAGTAATGTGGGGGTCCTCCACACAGCTCCACAGTGGCTGGGCCAGTCAGCACCCCACCAGCTGTTTCACACCTCTTAGCAACTAGCAGCCACAGGAACCATGTACCTGGACCCTAATTCCCTCAGCTGTGAAATGAGACAGAAGCACTGGGCGTTGTCTCAGGTCCCCAGCAATCCCTTCTTTCCCCCTCTGCAAGTCGGTCTTAGTATGTCTTCAAGGTCAGGTACAAACACATGGTGTCTTCTATGGGCAGGAACTGGCTTCTCGTGAAGTTCAAACCAGAGTTGCACACTGCTGGTTCTTCTGCTCAACCTGCACAGCATTTTTAGAAGTCAGAAAATACCTCACACCATTTTGAATTTCCAATTTCTCTGAGGAAGTCAGAAGAGCCAGCAATCTGGGCCCACATTCCTGGGCAAAAGAGAGGGTGTGAGGATGGGCCACTGCTGCCCCCTGCAGGCAGGGCAGGCATTTCTCAGCTTCCCCTCTGCCCACACTTCCCCACTGGCTTTGACTGTGTGAGGCCTGAAGACTGGCCTCCTCGCCTGTCCCCACCGCCTCCTCCTTTTCCTTCCAGTCTTCTTCCTCTTTCTTGTTCTCTGGTGGGGCTATTTTTCACTTTCTATTTTACGTTGAGATGATTGATTTTACAGGCATTTTCATTTCCACTATAGACTGAGATCCTTGGGCGGGAAGAGCGGCCTCTTTTTTATCCATCTGTGAAGTCCAAAGATTCGGAGCAGAGTTTATCTTCAGAGAGGGAATGAACAGGGCACCCCCTTACATTTGAAAGCCACCCCCTCCCCCGGGGTGGTCCAAGCCAGTTTGCTCTAAGAGAGCAAACTGATGAGCTAGTAAAAAATGAAGATGAGGGACGTCCCTGGTGGCGCAACGGGTTAGGACGCGGCACTGCAAGCTGACCACAGCTGCTTCAGTGCAGGTCCGATCCCCAGCCCTGGAGTGACCCACAGGGCACAGCGGACCTCTCCTGACCCGCCCGCTGCTCCCCTCAGCAGTGCACTTTGTCTATCTACCTGTTCTGCTCCCCGCTCTGTCTCTGGTGAATCCTCAGCCCCTGCACCTCTGGCCTGTACCCCAGCTCTGTAAGCATAAATAAATAAATCTTTAAAAAAAAATGAATGATGCAGACATGCACCTACAAAGCACCTTCCTGTGTCTGGCCTCACACAGAGGAGACACGAGCAGGTATTCCTAGCTCTGGGCTTGGTAGGGGGTGTCTGTTTCTGAGTCCTCTGCCCACCGGTTCTGTTTTGGTCTTACCAAGACCTGTTCATGTTGGTGGATTGCAAATGGTCCCAAGCTGGTCACGTGGGTCACTGTCCAGCAAGCTGTCCAGGCCGAGGCGCTGCAGTGGGCACCTTCCGTAGGAGAGTGGGGGCAGTCGTGTTGGCTCAAGGTTCCCTGCTTGGTGTCGGGGACCCATTGTGCTCCAAGGACCAGGTTCCTGGGGTTCCTGCCAGGGAGGAGAGAGTGAGAGCAGGGAGACGGGGTGCGGAGGCCGTGCAGACAGACTCAGAGCATCACGGGGAGGCCGGCAGGCAGGGCGGCCGTGGGGAGCGC